TAGATATGGAGATCATTTGGAGGGTTATCAGTTGGGAGGGGGAAGAGGAAGAATGGGGGAAAAGGTGCAGGGATTAAGAAATACAAATTGTCAGGTACAGAATAGACAGGGGGATGCTAAGAACAGTATAGGAAATGGAGTAGCCAAAGAACTTATATGCATGCCCCATGGACATGAACTAAGAGGGTTGTATTGCTGGGGGGAATGGGGATTCTGGGTGGAGGAGGGCAAAGGGGGAAAATTGGGACAACTGTAATACCATAGTCAATAAAATATATTTAATTAAAAAAGGATAAAGTGGGGTAATGAGGGGTATTGTTTGTGGAACCATAATTGCTGCTTCAACTGGTTCATGACCTGTCCTGTTTACAAAAGTGCAGTCAAATGTGTGTGTCTACAGTGCCTACAATGCTTTTCTAGCTTAGGTATTGTTGGGTTTTAATATTTACTAATATATAAAATAGGCAAACCAACAATATGGGTTTGTGCTGTAATAATTTGGTGAACAGCCCTGATCATTGTGGTTCAGTTGGCTGAGCACCATCCTGCAAGGCAAGAGGTCACCAGTTCTGTTCCTGGTCATGGCACATGCCTGGGTTGCAGGTTTGGTACCCAGTGAGAGCATTTACGAGAGGCAACAGATCAGTGTTTCTCTCTCGCATTGCTATTTCTCTCCCTCTTCTTCTCCTTGACATTCCCTCTCTCTAAAAATAAATAATGTATTTTTTAAAAAATAGTGAACAAAACCAAAAGAAAATTGGTTCATGTATGGGCTAGTGAGACAATATGAAACTGACATTAATGGACTAAGAAAAAAACAGCTTTTTTGATGAAGAACTAATAAAGAGAGTTCTTTGGAACGACAAGGAAACACTGATGACTTTAAACTCAGCTAACCAATTGACGTAAAGATCCAAAGACTCAAAGAGATTTTCCACTTCAGAATACTCACATTTTGGGGGGAAAAAAAGGTGTTTAGACACAATTGCTTTTTTCTATGCTTGTTCATAAAAAATATAGGAGAGAAGAGGAATTTTTACCAGGATTTGGAACACATTACTTATATTTGTGATTGAATAACAATGTATTTTGAATAAAGGGGACTTCTGGAGGAAATTATGTTTCTAAGCAACAATGCTGGCTTGTGTAGGAAAATCTTTATAGAAGAGGGTTAGAAAGTGAATAGCTACAGTTTACACCTATTAAATGGGAATAGCAAAACATAGAAAAAATATTGGTAATTTGAACTTACCATAATTTTGTATCTGGTTTCTCAAACAGTTCTGTGAATTTAGAACTATCGTTTGATAGGAAGGAAGAATTCCCAACATCAAAATACTAGGATGTGTCAGGCCAATAGAAGAGAAGTTTTGTTACTACAAAATAACTCCCTTGGCAGGGTATAATGGAGAAGGTAAAACAGCAAGTCACATCCATCACTGTTGTTTGTTCAGTGAACTTCTATTCATAAACTGAAACATAATTTAAACAACTCAGCTTAGCTTTGATATGCTAGGAAACGATGTAGTGGTTACCTGTCAGTGATGGTGTGGTTCCTTTTGAGCAAAGGTATCTTGTAGTTCAAGGCACTTGTGATCCATGCAGCCTCCACATTTAAGCAAGGTTGAAAGGACTGCTGTTAAGAAGTATGGCTGACTCCAGCCCTGTCCATGCACATAGGCAAACTCTTCTGTTGGCTTCTACTGAAATAATAAATAGTACTAAATCAATAACGGCAAAGGATAGATGAAACATTAGGGCAGTAAGATACTAGAGTTAAAACCCTCTTGGCACAAACTTAGTTGCTTAATGTAGTTGTGAGATAATAGATATCTATGAAAAACTGCCTGTTGGTCAGTTTACTTGATTAAAGGAGAAGCGATAATAAGAAATAATCTAACGCTGCTTAAAACTAACTGATGTTTACTTGGGGCCAGGAACTATATAAATTCTTTATGTAAAATGCTTAATTTAATCCTCTCAACAATCCCATGACATAGGTATCATCCCCACCTACAGAAGAAAACAAGTTGAGGCAAAAGAGTTTAGCTTGCTGAAGAGTTTAAAAAGAAAAACAAACAAACAAAAAAAAAAACCAAACAAACAAACCCTAGTTGAGGCAAAATGATGGACCTGGAATTCAGATACCAGAAAGTCTAACTTCAGAAAGCAAGTTCTTATTATTTTATGTGTTTACAAAGACAGGCTACCCATTTCCCCACAGAATTTAGCTTTTCCTTTATTATTTCTTCATCAGAAAGCCATCTTTTTAAATAACCTTTTAAAAAGTATTGTAGTTGGTTATAACTTAAAATAGTATATGTGACATCATGCAATCTTAAAATAGAATCCCTATTTTAGAAATCCTATGAATAATTTGGCAAAAATAATCTGCCCTATTCTTTAACATAGTAGATTGAATAAAAAAGAAATTCTACTTAAGGCAAATTAATATAATGTAGGACAGAGTTCAACTTCTTCTTTTCCACTCTAATAGACACAACAGAATCAAGTATTCCAATCAGATCCTTAGAGTTGACCATTCAACTTTGGTTTCCTATTCCTCTAAAATCCTTTCCCATTTCTCTCAGTTGTAAATCTAAGCGGTTTCCAAACTCTATAAGATTTAGCTCTCATTCCCTGCATTCCATCTCTTCAGACAATTTTTGCCTACTGTGTCACTGTGGAAACTGAGGCTACCAGGCTTGAAATCCACGAATCCTCTCCTGCTAGGCTAAGAAATTTACCCTCCTATGCATCATCTTTCCAGTCTCTCCTTGGAAGACAAGGTCTCCTCTCCTTTAGGTTCAAATCAAATTCTCTGCCAGTGCATTTGGTTCCATCCCCCACTCCCAACTCTTTAAGGAATTTGAATCATTAATTTTCCAGGGTATCTTTTGTGCTGTTGTAGGTTTGCCAAATACATTGCTTCCATGCACACAAGTTCTTATGAAGTAAGGCAATCCTCCCCTAGTCTTTGTAAAAGGGCAGCTGTGTTTTACACCATGTAAATTCCTGTGCATTAACTGATTGGACACTGTGAGCACCTGTTTCAAAGGGCAGCCATTTTAAAGGCTAGACAAAAAATTAAGACATGTCCATGGTATGAAAAGATGAGCAGGTCTGGTCACCTTCTTAAAACTTTTCAAAAATGCTGTTTTAAGAATGAGGTCCATCTTTAAGTAAGATGAGTGAATTTTTATTATTAAAAAGTTTTGAAATGATCTTTTATGCATGTCTTGTCTGTGAATGTCATTGACTTTAATGTGAAAGTAAGTTTATACTGTATAGTTTCTAGAGAGCTAAGCATGTTAATATGGGAATAATGTCAAACATTATTAGTGACAAAAATATCACTCACAGCAGCTTATTGTATGGGTTTTAAATACAGCAATATGTAAATATAAAATATTAACATGCAATGTAGATTCCAATATTCCTAGTTTTCAAATAAAGAAACTAAAACTAGAAGGACTTGGGTAAACTTCTAAGGCCACTCAGTTAATGTGTGGCTGAGCTTGAAGTCTGAATCCAAAGCTCATGTACTCTCTGTCCTGTTTATACTATATCTGGCTTTTTCCTAGCAAAACACATCAATGCATCACTTAATTTTATCATTTGTCATCTTGGCTTAACATCAAAATGATTGGAATTGGTTTGCATAAGTATATAAACAACATAAAATTAACAGTTGATTAAAGAAAGGAGAATAAAATCAAGCTAGAGGCAAATTTAGTGTATAAGAATGCATGCTGTAAGTTTTGTAAGTAGTTACAGTCTGCAAAGATTGCTTCAGTACGGAGTGATGTCTTCAGGAGAGTTGGTAGCTTCAAGACTTGGTAGCTTCTTCATTGGTTAACATTTAGAGGTACACTTCTCTGGATGAGAGGGGCACTTAAGGAGAAAAACAGTAAAGATGGAGATAACTTACCAAGAGCAATTTAATATTGTCTTTGAAGGAAAAGGCACACTTACAAAAATATGATCCAAGTTTCCTTAAATTTAGGTCAGTCTATGACTTCCTTAATACTTATCATTTTTCCAAATGGCCTATAAACTGGGGTTCAAGTGGAGAAACCAAGATATTGTTCAGTGTCGTGATTTGGGGGGAGTGTCAAAGATTTAGCAATAACTTATGAAAAACCTAGCTGCTTATTAGACTTATTACGTAGGTGTAGAGTTTGGACTTGGAGTGGTGGTAAATAGCATGTTTGCTTCACGTAGCAGATTAACTCATATTTAATAACGAAGTAAGTCTGTTGGGCCATGACTCAATGCATTCAAGTTGTCAAGATTGCTATGTCTTACACTCTAAACCTTCGGTATCAACAAGCACAGTACTTGCGGGGTGCAGTCTCACTGAAATCAGCTTAGTCTGGTTCAAGAAGCTACCAAAGGTTCAGGAATTAAATTTCCTGGAGTCCTGAGCCTCTTTCCAGGTTCTTCTTTGCCTTGCATACAGTTTATTTTCAAGCACTAATGGACGAAACACCTTGGACTTTAGAAAGCATGCTGGGGCAGGGCCCAGGGATCAGCATTTTCAACAACCGCCTCAGGTGGATTTGATCCAGATGGTTCAAAGGCTATGTTGGAAAACAGGTTAAACGGGTTAAGGATGGTGATACATGAGTTAGCTGTTAAGCGGTGTTCCGTTTTGGCCACTTTGGAGGGTAAGGCTTAGTCCGGGCTTATTCACACCTTAGAAAATTAAAAGCGTGGTGAAGTCGTTGCGTCAGTCCCCGAAGCGCCTGTTATGAGGGAACTCGCCCACGCTCCAGGCCAGCCTGCGCCTGCTCTACCTAAATCACAGGCCTCTAAGGCTTCTCCTGATTTTCTGCCAGCGTCATCTACACCACAGGTTTACGCGGCTCCTCGGAGCTTTCCGTCAGCACACACTGTCTCCATCCAACCGTAGCGACCTCCTCTCAGTGAGTCGGGGGCACAGGCCGGAAGCGATCTCCGCGCCCGCCCCCTGCCTGCCGGAGCCGGAAATTGGTGACTACAGCCTCGCCCTCGGCGGGCCGCTCGACACCATGCCCTGCGGCGCCAGCAGCCTCCTGAGGGTTGCCTCAGCACCCGCCGCTGTCCTGGCTGTGGCTCTGCTCTCTTCGCTCTCGCGCAGCTCCCTCCTGGAGCCGGGGGACCCTGTGGTCTCGGCGCTCAGCCCCTACTTCGGCACCAAAACTCGCTACGAAGATGCCAACCCCGGGCTGCTGCCGGACCTCGAAGCGCCGCTGCGGGACCCGGAGCTGCTGGAGAAGACCTGCAGCCCGGTGCAGCTGGTCGCCCTCATCCGCCACGGCACCCGCTACCCGACGGCCAAACAGATCCGCAAGCTGCGGCAGCTGCATGGGCTGCTGCAGGCCCGCGGGCCCATGGAGGAGCGGGCCGACGCCACCGGCGGCCGAAACCTCGGCGCCGCGCTGGCGGACTGGCCGCTGTGGTACGCGGACTGGATGGACGGGCAGCTGGTGGAGAAGGGGCGGCAGGACATGCGACAGCTGGCGCTGCGCCTGGCCTCCCTCTTCCCGGCCCTTTTCAACCGCGAGAACTACAGCCGCCTGCAGCTCGTCACCAGCTCTAAGCACCGCTGTGTGGAGAGCTGCGCCGCCTTCCTGAACGGGCTGTGGCAGCACTACTACCCCGGGTTGCCGCCGCCCGACGTCGCAGGTGACCACCGGGCCAGGACCCTGCCTCGGTCCTCTTCCCCGCCTGCCCCCCGACCCGACCCCTGACCCCCGATCCCCCTCCCTATCCCGGATTTCCTCTCACTACCCTCTCTCCCCATCCCCAATCCCTCCGACCCCCATCCCGTGGAATGGTCTGGACTTGGCTATCTCCTTTCTCCTCATACATATACTTGTTTGTTCATTCCTCAGTTATGAATTTAGCACATTATATGTGCATGACGTTGTAGTAGACGTTGGCGGGGCGGGGGGGGGGGATTCGACAGGAAAAGAGACACACAAGGGCCGCTTTGGATCATCCATTCCCAAATCGACTTACCCTCTTTGAGCAACAAACCCTTCCTTTCCTCCCTCCCTGGCTGCCAGTTCTACAGTGGAGCACACTTTAAATACGGTCTAGGACTTTCTTCCTCGGGCTTTGCTTCTGATGCTATTTGGGTTTTTATTTATTTTCTTTTTTTACTTCTCAATTTTCAGATGTTGGTCCTACACCTACCTCCTGTTTTAAGAAGCTACTCTCAAATTTTCTTCTCTGCTTTCTTCTTATGTACGCGTGTACCATAGAGTGACCCTCGTTGTAGTTGTGGTCCATGGTAACACGCAGTGCTTTACTAATATATTCCATTACTTACTCTTTTACAAAACTTGAGACATCATCTCGTGGGGCTCTTTCATATAGAGGTGGGGCAGCTGAGCCCACAAATACGCCTTGTGAACTAGAGTAAGGCCCAGAGTCCCAGCTCTTCTGTTTCCCGGAACAGTGCTTTTTTTCCCCCTCAGAAAATGTTCAAAAGACACAGTTAAGACTGATAACACTTAATACCTGCCATATGCCGGTCATGCTTCACATTTATTTCACTAACTCCTCACCACAACTCTGATTGTATTTTCCCCCAATCTAAGAGATGAGGAAATTGAGAAACAAACACTAAATAATGTCTGAATTCATATAGCTACGTGTATGGACCCAGGAAATCTGATTACTCTCCTAACCATTACATTATATAGCTTCTGTCCGTCTAAGATAAGAATAAAAAAAAATTTTGTGCCATAGAGATGATCGAATGCTAATACTTGCATGGTCAGTTTTAAGGTCAGAGTTGAGATGAGACGTCATTTAGTTTCAGAGCACAAGCGGAAAATGAGGTGGACTGGTTTGTCATTTCTCCAATAACGTCCTTTCTTAAGCAGTTCAGCCATCTCCCAGGATCCTTCCATGGATTGTGTGTCATGTTGTTATTGTGTGGGTAATTCTGTTGGCTGAACTGTGCTTTTTAGTTACAGTTAGGCTTTTTCTGGTAATATGAGTGAAAATCCTCCACAAATCTGTTGAATTAACTAAATGTTGAAAGTAGAGTATACTTAAGTATAGCACAGTATATACAGGGCGAGGCAAAAGTGAGTTTATAGTTGTTTGTATGGAAAATAGTACAATAATAGTAATAAAAGAAGAAACTGTTTTGCATACGCACAACTGTAAACCTCTTTTGTCCCACCCTGTATAGTGTCTACCAAAAAGGGGCCATTGGACCTCCTAGGTGGCATTGTGGGGATTAGCATTGGCCTCAAAGTACAAAGCCAGGGATCAGAATAGTTAAAATAAGCCCACCCCTCACCATTTTCAAATTAAACCCCTTTGTCTAACTAGTTAATTATTATCTAAAGATAGTTGTTTTGCCTGTTGTGTCCATCTGGGCTTTTGAGGGAGTACACAGAATTAGATTTTGTATTCTTACAGAAACAGAACAATGCTTTTGTTTCTGTTTAAAGAACAGTAATTTGATGATAGCAAGGATGAAATATCCAGATCCACTTGAAAAATTGTATTTTGAGGCCACAAAAAGATGACAGAGCACTTTCCTAGTTAGGATGCTTTCTTAACAACTGTAATCCAATCTGCAATTAAAGTGGGCAGAATTATCCATTTCAGGATGGATGCAGATAGATACATGTTTTCCTACACACGTCTAAGCAAAACAGTATAACTAGATTTCTCCTTTTATAGACAGAAATAGTGTAGTTCATATTTTCATGGTAAATTATTGGAGGAATGATGATTGAAATCTGTATGTTTTGAATGTGATTGTGAAAAAACTTAAAAGGCACCCCAGTAGTTCATACATGAATATGAATGCTTTTCCCATACATATTTGTTGCCAAAGAGGGGAAATTATGCAACTTTTTAAATTCTTTGGGAGCTTCAGTTAGGAAACAAACCAAATCAGAAGCACATAGCACAATGAAAAACAAAAGCGTTAATCTATTTTGTGCTGTTGTCAGTAGTTTTGTCCCAACTCAAGTCTTTTGTAAAGTAAACAGGGTTGAAAAGTTAATTGAAAAAACAAAATACTCTATTTAGACTTTGGCTTAGAAGAGAAAAATAGGTTCTATCTGTTGAGTTATCTCTCACCTTGTATTTGGAAATTTTCCTAGTTTTTAGTTTGTTCTTCAAGTTTTCTGTGCCAAGCATAAACTGTACTGACATAACACAGTTTGTACTTTTTATGACTTTTATGTTTAATTATTTTTACTTTCTTTAAGAAAACATTCATTTCAGTTACCTTTATTTTATTGTGTAGTATTGCTATAACACATTTTATCTTTGATACTGTGTTTCATTAGTTTTTTCTAGCATATCTTCTCATGAATTACTGTTACAAATGGGGAATAGTTTTTTGCCCTGTCTATCTTGAATAATGTGTCTTTGAATAGTAGGTTGTTAGTGTTCCTTTCACACCTGAAACAAAATTTTCAATAATATGAAATTGTCACTTACATCGCACGCGTCTCTGTGTGTATTTGTATGTGTGTATATATATATATTTTTTCTCCCCCCCCCCCTTTCAGACATGGAATGTGGACCTCTAAGAATTAATGATAAACTAATGAGGTTCTTTGATCATTGTGAGAAGTTTTTAACTGAAGTAGAAAAGAATGATACGGCTCTTTATCATGTGGAAGCCTTCAAAACTGGACCAGAAATGCAAAACATTTTAAGAAAAGTTGCAGCTGCTTTGCAAGTACCAGTCAACAATTTAAATGCAGGTAGTGTTCCTGTTATCTTTCATTTGAATTCTGAAATAGTTTAAATGGTTTTTGAGTTCTGAAAATGAAAACATATGGAAGCATAAAGTTATTCCTTTTAAAGGCCCACAATTTATTTTACATTAAGAAAATATGTTCTAGGTCAAGAAAACTGTACACTTCATGCTTACTGTGTTTTAGGTTCAAATTCTTTGAGTTTTATGTAAATTCCTGCTATATTGTGGAATTATTTTGAGGGCAGAAGTATATAAAGCTTCTCTCAGCATTATTTAGAAAGCAAAAATTATCTTTTCTGTGTTATCTCCTCAAAGTAACACAAATGGAAAGTCAGATAAATTTAGCTTTTGAGGCAGTTGAGAAGTACATGTTACTGTTTTGAAAGAGATAAGTTTTAGAAAGTGAAAGGCAAAGTAGTGTGGATTTTTGTTTTTGTTTTTTTGGGGTTTTTTTTTTTGAGGCTTTAAACCTAGAGATGCTGAGGAAATGGGCAGTCGTGTCTGTCATAAGGTATTGCAGTGGAGATGGGCTGATTGCAATTTATCATGCAACCTAGGACACTTTTGAGGGTGAAAGGGGCATGATTAATAATTATGCTGGAAAAGCAGGACATGTGGTCACCCAGAAATGGGAAGTTAATAAAAAATAAAATAAAATCATTTTCTATTTTCTAGGATTTTATAATTCATAGAGTAAGTGTTGACAAATAGACATACAAAGATTGTGGGTTTCATTATACTGTGAATAAATTTCCAAAAGACTAGAAGTATGAGATGTTGTGGAGGAGAAGGTGGAAATGTAGACTGGAATCTCATTCATGGAGCCTGAATGCTTGTTTTAAAAGATCAAAAAAGTGAAAATGCCTGGACTAGACTAGCATTTAAAATTAATTTTTTTTCTCTTTCCCCAAACTGGTTGTGCATTGGGGTCACCTGTCAAGCTTTAAAAGTGATTTATTTTTTTAGGAAACAACTGAAGCATATAGATAATAATAAAAGCTAATATAATGAACATTGGTATACCCACAGCTTAGTATTATCAAACTTTAAAATTATGTTTCAGTTAGTTGCTTTGACAATATTGAGGTTTTTTGGTCCCACTGCAGGATCTCATCTGTCTCCTTTTCTCCTCAGAGGTAACCATTGTCATGAACACTTAAATTATTCCATGCCAGTTTTTATATTTACATTTATGTTTCTATACATAAATGGGATATTGTTTTGCAGATTTTTAAATATTTAAGAATGGCATCAGTGATGTCAGTCATATTTTATTTGAATTCAACTTTGTGTTTTTGATTTAACATATATAATTCTAGTACTATACTTTAAATTTATGTACAGAATTTGATAAACTATACCAGTATGTAGTTGTTGTTATTTTAGTGGGTATTTAGATTGTTGAAGAAGGTTTTTTTTTTAGAAAACTACTTTCAGTCTCTAAATGAACAAAGATTATCTATGTTTAAATGTGGGGTAATTGAGAACAACTTTTTTTTGGAGGTAATAAAACTATAGTGATTAAAATGATAGGTTCTGAAATTGGACTATTTGTATTTAAATCTTGACTCTGTAATACTATTGCCTAATTCTGTGATCTTTTGCAAATTCCTTAATACCTCTTTGCCAAAGTTTCTTTCTCTGTAAAATGGGTATAAGAGTTATACCTGCCTTTAGCATTATTGCAAGGATTATATGAGATTAATTTTTTAAATATATTTTATTGAATATGCTCTTACAGTTGTCCCAGTTTTTCTCCCTTCACCCCCTTCCAAATGGTACCCCCATTCCCTCCAGCAATCCCCCCTCTTAGTCCATGTCCATGTGTCATGCATGTTAAGTTCTTTGGCTACTCCATTTTCTATACTGTTCTTAACATCCGCTTGTCTGTTCCGTACCTAACAATTTGTATTTCTTAATCCCTGCACCTTTTCCCCCATTCTCCACCTTCCCCCTCCCTCTAATAACTCTCCAAATGATTTCTATATCTGTGATTCTCTCTCTGTTTTGCTTGTTTACTTAGTTTGTTTTTTCAATTCAGTTGTTGATAGTTGTAAATTTATTGACATTTTAATGTTCATAGTTTTGATCTTTTTCTTAAATAAATCCCTTTAACATTTCATATAATAATGGCTTGGTGATAATGAACTCCCTTAGCTTTACCTTGTCTGGGAAGCACTTTATCTGCCCTTCAATTCTAAATGATAGCTTTACTTTTAGAGTAATCTAGATTGCAGGTCCTTGCTTTTCATCACTTTGAATATTTCTTGCCAGTCCCTTCTAGCCTGAAAAGTTTCTTTTGAGAAATCAGCTGACAGTCTCATAGGAATTCTTTTGTAGGTAACTAACTTCCTTTCTCCTGCTACTTTTAAGATTCTCTGTTGTCTTTAACCTTTGGCATTTTAATTATGATGTGCCTTTGCTGTGGTCTTTTTTGTGTCCATCTTATTTGGTACTCTCTGTGCTTTCTGGACTTGCATATCTATTTCCTTCACCAAGTTAGGGAAGTTTTCTTTCATTATTTTATCAAATAAGTTTTTAATTTCTTGCTCTTTCTCTTCTTCCAGCACACCTGTGATTCAGATGTTGGTTCATATAAAGATATCCGAGAGGCTCCTTAGCCTATCCTCATTATTTTTTTTATTCTTTTTTCTTCTTGCTGTTCTGATTGAATGTTTTTTTTTTCTTCTGTACGAAATCATTGGTTTGAGTCTTGGCTTCATTCACTGTATTGTTGGTTTCCTGTAAATTTTTTTTTTATTTCACTTAGTGTAATCTTCATTTCTGCCTGGGTCTTTTTTCTGCTGTTGAAGTATCCCATGAGTTCCTTGAGCATCCGAATAACCAGTGTTTTGAATTGTGCATCTGATAGATTGCTTATCTCCATTTTGTTTAGTTCTTTTTCTGGAGTTTTGTTCTGTTCTTTCATTTGTGCCATATTTCGTTGTCTTCTAATTTTGGTAGTCTCCCTTTGTTTGTTTCTGTTTGTTAGGTAGATCTGCTTTGACTTCTGTCTTCTAGTAGCATGGCCTGTTGTAGAAAAGTATACCTGTAAGTTGGAAGGGGTAGAGCCTTAGGTAATTGCCAGGGCGAGGCAACCCATGTCACTTCTCTGTGTGTGGGGGTGGGCTCAGAGAGGGCACAGAGCTGCTGCCTGGCCTTTGGAGTTTTGTCTGGGAGGGAGCTGTCTTCTGGCACTCGTCCTCATGCCAGTCACTTCAATTTCTCCCCATATGACACTGGTGTCCTTCCAGCTGCTGTCCTGGTGCTAAAGCCCAGAGGGAGTGAGTCTGTGTAAGTCCTAAGTCCGTTGCAGGCCCGTTAAGAAGAGACTTCTGAAAATTCCACAGCTTCTTTATTTATTTAGTTAGTTAATTTTTAAAAAAAATTTTTAATTTTAATTTATTTTTTCAAATACATTTGTCTCTGCCTACCCCCCACCACTTTCTCTTGCCCCCTCCTTCCTTCCCTCCCTCAGCTCTTCCCCTTTGGTTTTGTCCATGAGTCCTTGCTATATGTTCTTTGACTTTCCCCTTCCCTTCCTTTTCCCCGCCTCCCCCCCTTGTCTTTGTTGGTTTCTTTTCCTTTTAGTGTTGCTGGTCTTATTTTCCTTGCATCTTTGTATCGTTGGTTAGGTTCTTCTTATAGGTGAGATCATATGGTATTTGTCTTTCGCCCCCTGGCTTATTTGGCTTAGCATAATGCTCTCCAGTTCCATCCATGCTGTTGCGAAGTTTAGTAGTTCTTTTTTTCTTTCTGCTGTGTAGTATTCCATTGTGTATATGTAGCATAACTTTTTGATCCAATCATCTATTGATGGGCATTTAGGTTGCTTCCAACACTTGGCTATTGTAAATTGTGCTGCTATGAACATTGGGGTGTATAGGTTCTTTTGCATTGGCGTTTTGGGATTCTTAGGGTATAGTCCCAGCAGGGGAATCCCTGGATCAAAAGGCAATTCCATTTTCAGCTTTTTGAGGAAATTCCACACTGCTTTCCACAGTGGCTGCACCAATCTGCATTCCCACCAACAGTGTACTAGGGTTCCCTTTTCTCCACAGCCTCGACAGCACCTGTTGTTTGTTGATCTGTTTATGATGGCCATTCTGACCAGTGTGAGGTGGTACCTCATGGTGGTTTTGATCTGCATTTCTTTGATGGCTAGTGATGCTGAGCATCCTTTCAAATGCCTCTGGGCCCTCTGCATCTCCTCCTTGGAAAAGCGTCTGCCCAGGTCCTCTGCCCATTTTTGATTGGATCGTTTGTCTTCTTGGAATGGAGTCGAGTGAGTTCTTTATATATCTTGGAGATCAAACCTCTATCTGCTGTATCATTAGCGAATATATTTTCCCATAGGGCTGGCTCCCTTTTCATTTTGCTGATGTTTTCTTTAGCGGTGCAGAAGCTTCTTATTTTGATGAGGTCCCACTTGTTTATTCTTTCCTTTACGTCCCTTGCTTTAGGAGACATATCAGTGAAAAAATTGCTGCGTGGGATATCTGAGAGTTTCCTGCCAATATTCTCCTCTAGGACTTTGATGGTGTTGCGACTTATATTTAAGTCTTTTATCCATCTTGAGTTTATTTTTGTGTATGGTGTCAGCTGATGATCCAATTTCAATTTTTTGCATGTAGCCATCCAGCTCTCCCAACACCATTTGTTGAAGAGGCTATTATTCCTCCATTTTTTGCTTCTGCCCCCTTTGTCAAATATTAGCTGCCCATAGAGACCTGGGCTTATTTCTGGGCTTTCTATTCTGTTCCACTGGTCTATGGGTCTGTTCTTGTGCCAGTACCAGATTGTTTTGAGTATAGTGGCTTTGTAGTAGAGTTTGATGTCCGGTATTGTGATCCCTCCTACTTTGTTTTTCTTTCTCAAAATTGCTGAGGCTATTCGGGGTCGTTTATGGTTCCATATAAATTTTTGAAATGTCTGTTCTATTTCTCAAATATGTCATTGGTGTCTTAATAGGGATTGCGTTGAATCTATAAATTGCTTTGGGTA